AGTTTGATGGACAGATGGATGGATGATGGACAGTTTGGTGGACAGATGGATGGATGGATGGATGGATGGATGGATGGATGGATGGATGATAGGCAGCTGGATCGATGGATGAACAGATCTTTTCTTCATCCCCACTTCAAGACAACCAAACAAGAATCTTGGGGTGAGGGGACATGTGGTGAGAACCTGAGGTAAGATGGAGCCAAGAGCAGTGGAAACACAAGAAGTTAATTTGAAAACTTCTAGAAAGCACTCCAGCAGTGTCTCCTCGCCTTTTTGGGGTCACGGACTCCTCGGAGCCTCCACATAAAGCTAACGCTTGCTATGGAAATGCATGGCATACAGTTTGTGTAAACCTTTCAGACTTAATGAAGTCATTCCCCGAGTCTTCGCAAAGCACTTCCCAATGCTAAGCTGTAATTGCCAATTTGCTTATCTGTCTCCTGTCTGAAGCTCCCGTCTGTGCATCCGGTTAACTAACATCGGTGCTGAGCCATGAGCTCCTCCGATCGCCCTCTCTTTCCCCAGCTCCCAGGAACGTGGATGGCTACTCTGGGCCCAATTTCCATCTTCAACTTGCTCTTGTGTTTGGAGGGGCAGCTGGGAGGGCTGGGCTCAGGACATCCCCCCATCTGCTGGGGACAGTGGCTCTGAGCAGTTGGGAGGGGAAGGCACAGGCCCATCTTCTCACTCACAGTCAAGCGTGGTTTAAAAATGTTTACATACTGACTAAGGGCGGAAACCAATTTAAGTCACTGTCCCAGGCTTGTCATTAGCATGTAAACACCGTCCGGAACCTGGGCGGGCATCAGCATAATAGCTGGGCAAGAGTTATATCAGTAATCACTTCTTTAATCAATGTTGTAATTTACAGACCATTGACTTTCCTCATTTACTACCTTTCTGAGCTCTGCAGGGAGGGAAGCCGGCCGCTCCGGAATGTATAAATAATTGAGAGGAACGCGGAGGGTGGAGGGCTGGGGCACGGGGGGAGCCATTGTCACTGCAATTCCTGGAGGTGCCATAAACGTCTGGGGAAGTCTCGGGACGCATCCATCATCTCCTAAGTGGCTGAGGTGGAAGCCACGGTTTCGCTCAGTGAGCCGGCGCGTCTGCGAGAAGGACCCCGAGTCCCATTTGTGGCCTGGAATCTTCCCCCCTTTGTCCCGGGCGGGCTGCCGTGGAGAGGCTGGCCTCCGGCCTCTGCTGACTCAGGCAGCCGCGCAGTGCAGGCGGAACCACGGTGGCCACGAAACCAGCCACAGAGGCTTGCTCTTCAGGACCCGGCGGGCCGTGGCAGGCCGTGTGGCTTCTGCTTGAGCAGTGCACGGTCAGCTGACAGCTTCTGTTGTCACTCAGGCTTTGGCAACTCCCCGAGGACGTCACCCGCCTCCTGGGGGAGAGGCTGGGGGCCACTTTCCACGAGAAGAGCAAAGATGCCTGCTGGTCCGCCGTTGACGTCACTGTGACTTCTGTCACCCACACAGGTCCTCAGACCTGAGTGAGCCTCAGAGAGGGCTTGTCGACACCGGCTGCTGGGTCCAACTGAGTCTACGGTGAGCAGGTCCGGGCGGGGCCCCTCAGGTGCGTTTCTCACAAGGTCCCAGGTGATGCTGGTGCTCGGGTCTGGGCCACGGCTGGAGACTCACTCCTCTGTGTGCTATAAGTTTCCGCGGCAACCTGGACATCCTGTCTTACTCAGCTCTGCCGCTAGGACTGAACGCCACAGACCGGGGCGGGGGTGGAAGGGTGGGGCTTACACAGCAAACATTTATTTCCCACAGTTCTAGAGGCCGAATGTCCGAGATCAAGGTGCTGGCAGATCCGTGTCTCGTGAGGACCTGCTTCCTGGTTCACAGATGACACCTTCTTGCTGTGACCTCATGCATGGAAGGGATTCGGGAGCTCCCTGGGGTCCCTTTTATAAGGGCACTAATCCTATTCGTGAGGGCCCCACCCTCATGGCCTCATCACCTCCCAAAGTCCCACCTCCTGCCATCACCTCGGCAGTTAGGATCCAGCATAGGAATTTGGGGGGACACACAGACATTCAGGCCACACATACGCCCTTCATTATTGTGATTGTGAATTACAATGCTCTAAATTCCATCTTCGTGCTCACAATGCCCCGAGTCCTACCTCCAGATACCCAGCTGCTTCTCCAACATCTCCACTCCCGGCCCTAGCGAGCCCCTCAAACTTAATGTTCAGAAATCAAACTCCTGCTACCGTTTTCTTTCTTGCCACTTAGGAGGCCGGGAGCTGGGAAGGGAAATTAAGCTCAGAGACAGAAACACCGGGTTTCCACACCTTGTACCCTGAGCTTGTGTCCTGCTCTGAGAACCTACACCCTACACACAGGGAGGCTGCCTCGGCTCACACCTGCCACGTGGTCTCTGTGACGTGGTCTCTGCGACGTGGTCTCTGCGATGTGGTCCCTGTGACGTGGTCTCTGCGATGTGGTCTCTATGACGTGGTCTCTCCGTCTTCTCAGCCTCAGGCCCTTCTGGAGTTTACTTCCAATGTGAACATCTCAGAGAGACTTTCTCTGACATTTCTACTTAAAACTGCAGCTCCCCAAACCTCCCCACCCCTCCTGGCTTTCCCCGCCCCACTGTTAGTTCCTGCCAGCTTGTACACTATCCATTCGACCCATTTATTTCGGTTATTATTTGTCCCCTTCACTAGAACATATACAAGGAACAGGGCTGTTTTGTTCAGTGTTGTATCTCTAGGGACTGAACCCAGGCACATAGTAGGTGTTCAAGAAACGTAGGTTGAAAAACGAATGAACAAATCAGTTTGTAAACTGGCCGCCCTGGGTCCCATTGGCCCTGTGTGGTGTTTTTAAAATATCAAATTAGTTACCGGTGCTGAAAAACCACTGCATTCAATGTTGTTACCAGCCTGTCCCCTGCACGCATTTGTTTTCTGCCCTCATGTCTTGCTGGTGTCAGAGACCAGAGGGAGGGTCTGGGGCCCTGCTGGGAGGGACAGGGGCTGGCAGTTGGCCTCGGAGTGGTGGACAGCCGGCCCCTAAGATCCCCACACCCCTCGGCCGGCGGCCTCCCGTGTCCGCTTTCTCAGCTTTCCGCACCTCACGGCCCGTGGCAGCCACGTTGCCGGCACTGGCTGACTGACTCGGTCACCGCTGTCTCAGTTTTTCTTGGGGGCAGGCTGCAGTGGCTGGGGAGCGCCCGCCCGGGGGACCGCCGGGCAGGTTATTTCTTCCTGACAAGCGGCAAACAACCTGCGGGGCCCTCGATGGAGAATTAAGTGGCCAGAAACGGTCTCCGCATCCCTGGGGCAGAGTGTTGCCAAGGCAACCGCAGCCCGTGGCTGGTGCCGAGAAGGTGCTCAGGTAGCAACTGTCCACACACTCCCCGGGACGCTCAGGGGCGCTCAGGGACGCTCAGGGGCGCTCAGGGATGCTCAGGGATGCTCAGGGGCACTCAGGGATGCTCAGGACGCTCAGGGGCGCTCAGGGACGCTCAGGGACGCTCAGGGACGCTCAGGGGTGCTCAGGGGCGCTCAGGGATGCTCAGGGATGCTCAGGGGCGCTCAGGGATGCTCAGGACGCTCAGGGATGCTCAGGGGCGCTCAGGGGCGCTCAGGGATGCTCAGGGGCGCTCAGGGGTGCTCAGGGGCGCTCAGGGGCGCTCAGGGATGCTCAGGGACTCTCAGGGACGCTCAGGGACGCTCAGGGACGCTCAGGGGCGCTCAGGGATGCTCAGGGGCGCTCAGGGGTGCTCAGGGACTCTCAGGGACGCTCAGGGGCGCTCAGGGATGCTCAGGGGCGCTCGGGAACTCCCGCCCACCTGCCCACCGCACGTGTTGCGTGTGCGAGCTCAGCTGCACACACACGGATGGACTTTCCTTGGTGAACTGGGGGACTGTACAGCCGGAAACAGAGCGGGGGTCCCACACAGCACAGGACAGCCCCCCAAACGACGAACTCCCTGGCACCAAATGTCCATAGTGCCGAGGCTGCAAAATCCAGCCTTAGACTTCAGACCTTTGCCGTCTAAAGGGAGGTGCATGTGGCCCAAGTCTAAACACACACGCGAGCCCCGGCCCGTGTGGCCTGCGCACCAGAGGGCCACGCCCAGTTCGATTCCCGGTCGAGGGCACGTGCCTGGGTTGCGGGTTCGATCCCTGACCCTGGTTGGGGCACGTTCGGGAGGCAACCGATCGATGTGTCTCTCTCACGTCAATGTTTCTCCCTCTCTCTCCCTCCACTCTCTGTAAAAATAAAGGGGAAAAGAATCGGCCCTCCTTGGGCGAGGATTGGAACAAACAGCCGCTTACCTTGATGACGTCTTCATCGGCGGACCTGCATTCCACCGACTCCGAGATGTCGGTCACGGCGCCGTTTTCCTCCACGGACACCACCCTGATGGGCAAGGCGACCGTCTTCCCGGTGAGGATGGCCGTGTTCAGCAGCTCCGTGTCCTGCGGGGAGAACCCGGCACCCGGGGTCAAGGGCGCTGCTCTGCCGGGCTCTGCGGGACACCTGCCGGGTGCTGGACACGGCCCCACACACCCGCCTGGGGACCGTGGGCATCGGGGCCACTCTCTGGGACAATTTCCCAAGGACGCTGGACAACACATGCGGCTCGCTGACGGCCGCCTTCCTAGTTTCCCACAGCGGCGCCCGCGTGTCCACGGAAGCGCCACTGACAAGCTAAGGTCTGGAAGCAGCCCACGTGCCCGTCGGCAGCTGAGTGGGCAATAAAGCTGGGGGACACGCACCCCCACGGCTCAGCTCGGAAGCGGGGGACGCAGGGGGGAGGTCCGCTCGCCTCTCTCTCCGGGGAAGCAACTGACCCAGAACCGACCTTTGCATTAAACCGGAGCTCGGCCGAGAGAGAGTCGTGGGCCGGTCACGGGGGCGTCCCAGCCTCTCCCCAGGCCCTGCCCAGCCCCGGCAGCCAGCGCGCTCAGCGCCCCCGCCTGGGCGGTGCCCACGTCGGCTGTTCGGATGCTAATAACGCGGCGGAAATCCCCCCAGTCCACGCCCGTCCTCGGGCTCATTACAGGTAATGGCTCGGAGCTCGGCCCCCCACCCCCGCGCGGCCTCTGGCTGACGGCTTCATTAAAGCCCAACCCCTTGCGGACCAGCGGCGATTAGCTTCCCAGCGGTGGCTTCTCCCCCTCTCTCACGCCCTCCGCCGCCTGACGCCCGAGCCCTACCCTGAATTGCCGTTAAGGCCGAGGATGGCTGGGCAACAGCTATTTCTAACTGAACAATATCGATTTGGGGCACAGAGAACTGGGGGGAAGGAGCATTGGCCTCTGGCATAAACCGGCCCAGGCCTTGGGAGACGGTCCCCACATTTAAAAACCCGTCTCCCGGATCCGTCGTTCCGGTGGGCGTGTGTCGCCCGTGGGCACCGGGGCCCTGGGGCCCTGGATTCCACCCTGAGCTGTGCCAGCGGCTCCTGCGGAACCCGGACCCCCTCCCATCTTCTGGACGCCGTCTCCTCGTTTCACACGTGAGGGTGGGGCCGTGTCATCGTCCAGCCGTGAATCCCCGGCCGTCCACGGGGAGCCCCCAGCCACGGAGTGAATGATTCCTGCGCACCCAGCGTGCTCGTCGCTGGTTACACAGTAGTGACCCGGGGTGACAAGTCCCCGCTCACGGGCGGAGGCACCGGCCGGAGGGCACAGGGTGGCCTCCGTGGGCTCCAGCGGACACTAGAACAGGCCACACGCCCGTGGGCGCCGGCCAGGGCCCCGGGACACGGCAGAGGCGCGATCCTTCCTCAGGGCTCCCCGTGGGATTAAACGGCCTCCGCTCTTCCTGACGCTCGTCCCCCCATAACCCCAAGCGCGGCTCCGGGCGCCGGAGAGAATCGATAAAGGGGGGCCCTTCACATCTCCGTCATTTCCAATCTGAGCAAAGCCCGAGGCTCTGGAGAAAACGCGATTTGTTATTCGAGTCGTCCTCACAAATGCACGTTGGTTTCGCCCTTTTCTGTATTTCCACAAGTCGCGTCTTTGATGTTTAACTAAATAAAGAACACAGGATTACCCCTGGGCGCTGACAAGACGGGCATGAAGTGACCGCGGCCGCCAGGCGAGTCCCGCGGCCAGGGGCGGCGGGGAGAGGCACCCTGTGCCGGGGGCTGTGACGCGCCGCGGGAGGGAAGGGCTCTGACACCTGCTGCGACCCGGGGGCCCGAGGACACGGTGCTGAGGGCGAGACGCCAGGCGCCACGGGCCAGCGAGTGCGCGATCCCACCTCCACGACACGCAGAGCCAGCAGCCGGCCCTCACGTCCTGGTTTTCCAAACGGGGCCTGTGACCTTCCCCGAGCCGGGGGCACGAGGCAGGGTCCCCGCCAGCTGCCCCGGGCGTCCTCCCACCAGCCCTGCGGCGTCTTCTCCCGACCTACGGGCTCCAGCCCCTGCGGCGGGAACGACTGCGGGTCTTCCCCTGCGTGTACCTTGCCCTTGGAGCCGACATTCTGGAGTGTTCTCCACCAGGCTGAAGTCTGAAGTACCTGAGCCGTGATTTTGGGGGGGGGGTGGAGCGAGAGGAGACCCTCAAACTCCCCGGCCTCCCTCGCAGCTGCGTGGGACCGTGGGACCAACAGGGCTTCTCACCTACTGAGTCAGCGAGGGCGGAGGTGGTGCTCACTCACCTCTGTTCCAACAATCTCTCCAGGATCCTGACGCTGAGAGTTTGAAAACGATGGGTCTAGTCCAAACATAAGTGGGAATAGCTTGCAGCCCGTTAAGAAATCTGCTTCTCGGGAGCTGGACGTAGTCAGCGGGACATTCACATTGTCCGTCCATTCCCCCCCCCC